GAATAATCAGCTTGCGTTTTCGCCTCAAGAGCGTGTGGCTCTTGTGAAACAAGTTCAACTACAATAAATATAAACTATTTGCTCTATGATTATTATTGGCGGCTAAAATATAGCTGGTATGTGCCTGGCTTGTTAACGTTCGTTTCGAAGTAGTTTCAGCGATGATGCTGTACTTACATTACCAGCAGGATTGGTGGATTTATGCAATACACAGGACAAACGTGACGCTCCTTCAATTGTTGAATATACATATTGAGCTTACATATGCGCTTCCCGTGTGATTTGCTTTTTTATGTGAATAACTACCTAACTTCAGAAAGACTAGCTATCCTGTTAAGACAACAATTTGAACAGAGTCCGCTTTACAGATGAATGTATATCTTGCATTCGAGCCACAAAAACGCGCCGATCTAGCTGATGGGGCTAACCAAAACAGATTTTGCGATAACCGGCAACATTGTGAGAACGTTTACAAATGCATGAATTTAGTGGTACTCAACTAAATCGTCATTGCTAGCTCAGTGGAGTGTAAAAAACTCTATCTTGGGACCCATGACTCCAAACTGCATACAAGTTGATAAAAAAATATCCGCCAAACTACTCCTATTGCCACTGAAAGTCCTCCCAATTTAAACCATCTACACGTTTGACGATATAAAACACAAACCGAAAAAATGAAAAATAAAATGAACTTTTTTTTTGAAATTTTTTTCTCGGCTATCGGCTTTTGAGATCTTTCTCTCGGCTATTGTTACCAGTCCGGATACCAAGTACAGGACTGAGTGGCAATATACAAGACATCCAGTATATAGACATAGAACAACCCAGGTAAATGGGGTGGTCATATGGAGTAAGAGGAGGACCTCGGTACTATGCACCCCGGGAGTGAACCCATCTGACGCCATCACGCATCGAAGGGTTAACAGTTTTCGGTGTTCGAAATGTTGTCGGCAGTAGGATGATAGATTTTTATCGCCTCAAACCCACACTAGAAGAAATCAAAAGTATTTGTTGGAGAACCACTGATGTGATTCAATAGCTTTCAGGTAGCCACATCCATTCCAGTGTGCATTCTGATCAAGTGAGAGGCTAGACTGCATAAAGAATGCGATGAACCCTAAGGGCATCTCGCGGCTTGTGGAAAACTAAACATCCTTTTACTACATCGAATCAACCCGACACTTTAATTAGCTTTCCTTTTACCCCAATTCAAAAAGCCTGGATATTGTCGACCGTAACGCATAGATAAGATAACAATAACTGACTCAGTTATTACCAACACGTCTCTAGTAGAGGCCGGGGACCGAAATCCCAACAGGTTGAAGTGCTTGATGCAAGATTAATTTTTTGGATCTTCCTAACTAATTACGAACGCAAACCTTAAGTTAAATACGTGGTATTGACAGTTTTGCGTTGGTTTCGTCTTAGCGATCTATATAACAAGAGAAGAAAACATGATGCCAACGTGTGGAAGGAAAGTGTCGTGCACTAGATTCAAGTTTGTCACTGGTTTGCGAGCCAATTCTCCAAAAGCACGTACAATACTTCCGATCTTCGGAATTTCACCTGCAATTTCAAAGATACGGTACCTGAAGCCGTGGTCGATTTGTCTACACTAAGCGTAACTTGATGTAATTGCTTTACCGAGCGTTTATTTTTATCTGAGAGTGGTCATTGGCATCATCTAGATGCTGACGATGTTTTCGGTGTCGGTGAAGTTGACGTCGGAGATCAAGATTTGGTTCTTGTCGTGGTTAACAGTGATGTAAGCCCCGCGCAAGAACGAGTCCCCGAGGGTGTAACCTTCTTCAGGGGTCGACGACTGGAACCCGAAGTAGCATCTGCCGGTGGCGTTGCCGTTGTCGTCAGTTTCGGGGATGGCCAAGTCGTGGTAGCTAACCTTGATCTCGGTAGAGCCAAACCAAAACGACACGAACTTGGTCGTCGGCTGGTTGCAGCCGATGTAGTAGGTACCGCGGATGTCCACGGACACACCAGGCACCTTCAACAGCTTGATGACGCTGGCGGGGATGTAAGTCAATGTGGTGCCGGTGTCCAAGATTGCTTCAACCCCGGGCGCCGACCCGCCGTTGGCCGAGGTGAACTTGGACACGGTGACGGTATCGAAGCGGGCGTTTTCGTCAGTGGTACTGGGGTAGAAAGTGGCAACGGGGCCCTTGACCTTAGCGAGATCACGACCACCGAAGGTAATGGTACCAGTGGCGGTGCCGAGCTTGTTTAAGTAGTACGAGTACGAGTTCAGCGCAATCAACCCTTGGTCCTTCAACTTCTGGGTGAAGTTGGGGTAGGTGGTGCCCGAACTATGGTAGCCGGCCTCGTTGATGCCCTTGCCGATCCCCAAAATCCCGGGGATCTCGCCTGTGGTCAACTCGACGTCGGTGGCCAACGCCCACTGCAAATCTTTAATTTCAACACCATTTTCAAGCCACACCGACGAGGTGCCAAATTCTCCCCTAACGATCAGCTGGTCTTGGTATTCAATACCAAACTTCTGCCCGTCCTTGGTGAACGCCGAAGTGTCCAGCAACTTCGCGGCGTCGACCCACAAGTCGGCAGACCCAGTGTCCAACACCAATTGCAATTCTTGGTTTTGGTCAATCACCCCCAAGTTGATCAAGTACGAGTCGCCGTTGGCGAAAAGCCTGACGTCTTCATTAGCATTGATCTTGGCGCGGGTGGTGGGGTTGGGTCTCACCTTTTCCTTCTTGTCGTGCTTGTTCAAGGTGAACGAAAGCGGCTTGGGAGCCTGGTCTCTCACCACCAAGGCAGCAGCGAGAGAGATTAAAAAGGGGTAGGCAATGGCAACCATCGTGTGGAAAGTATGGTTTAGGAGGGGGATCAAAGTCGGCTATTTATAGATGGATGGGCCAGGAGCCTTTGCTTCGATTGGCACGCGAAGTTTGTTGATGATGCGGGTGATAGTACGGCTCGCGTTCTATTTGCATTAGTGGGGCCGTTCCCTTTGTAGGCTCCATTGTCTTGGGGCTCGCGTCGAGACGTCCGCGCGTACGCGTGGCACTGATCGTCGAAAAATGGCGACAAAGCAACCACTGGTGTCTGTCTTATTTCGTATGTTATCGAGCTATCGGAGTTATACTTTTCTGTCTGTAACCCGCTACTGTCTCGGTTTGACAGGTGTCAACGCGGGGTGTCAGGGGTTACCCACGTCAAAATGTCTTGGCTGTAGCCGGTAGACCCGTATTCCGCACCCTAAACGCAGGATCCACCCTCCCGGGCTCGCACCCCAGCCTACGTTATCGCTGAAACTGATTCGAGTACCACCGGCAATTATTACCCACCCCGGCGTGACCTGTGGCACCACCGTACCTACCATTGTTTTTAGCAGCAACATCTCGCCGCGCCCCTTCGGCTCTTGTTGGCGAAAGAGTGAAAAAGCACATGCGCTGATATTGGCTTATCGCCTCCACAATCCGTTCCCCCGAGCACATTTACGGTATGCAGCGAAGCCCTAGACAAAAATGATTAGCTCTAATCTGACTTTAGTAAAGTCTAATTGAGATTGCATCCTATCAGTTCTAGGAAAACCACATATGCTTGTGTATCTATCTTCTATCTCCGCCTATCTCCTTATAAATCGTTTATAGCTTAAATTTCAGGTGCTCGTCGACGACCAACTTGATCAACGAGAACGCTATCAGCTCGGGCATCGGCAACAACATGTCGACGTCGAGCAGCTGCTCGTCCGGGTACACGAGCTTGCGCACCACCAGGGTGTCGAACCACTTGGCGTCGATCAACTCGCCGTCGTGGTCCAAGTCGATCAGCTCGTTTTCTCCATTAAATTCGACGGTGGCAATGCACCCAATCATAAGGTTAGCCGGGAACGGCCACGGCTGAGTCATCACGAGCAGCACGCTGTTAGCGGTGACCCCAGTCTCCTCCCAGATCTCACGGCGAGTCGCCACCTCCACCGTCTCGCTCGGCTCCATGAAACCCGCAGTACACAGGTACATCTTGGTGTTGGCGTGGCGCTTGTTAAGCGATAAAAGGATCTTGGACCGGTCGGTATTGGTAACAGCAGTGATGACGACGGCATCGGTACGCGGGAACGACAAATTGGACACGCTGGCGCCACGCACGGGACACTGGTAGTCATCTTTATCGTTTTTAGAGTTGTTGGTACATCGGAGTTTGCCGCCAGCGTGGATGGGGATCACTTTAGAGCCACACCCAGGGCAGAATAAGTTGCGGGATAGCCAGTCCAAGTACATTTTGCCGTGGCTATAGAGCGCGGCCTCGTGGTGCGGGAACGAGAGGTAGTGGCGGCGAGAATAGGTGAAAAACACCTCGGCGTCGTCGTCGCCTTTGACGGCCTGTTTCACGTGGTTAACCACTAGGTCGGCGACGTCGGGGAAGTTGGTGACGTCGACGGCAAAGAAGGGGATCCCTTGGTAACGGCCCTGGAAATCAAGGTAGCGCTCGTCGTCGTAAATCTTCAACAGGTGTAAATCAAGCCCCACGCTCTGGTCGTAGAGACCCAAAAATACGAACCCGGGGCTTTTGTTGCGGATATCGGCGTCCATCAGCTTATTAAGCTCGCTCCAGGTGCGGACGACCCGCTGCCACTGGGGGTGTCGGGCGAGCCCTTCGTCCGCCGCCACATCCGTAGGCAGTTTAATCAACTGGTGGTCGCCATTGGTAAGGATCACAAGCTTGTTATCGCTGGGTTTGACCACTAACGGGTCGGTCTTATTGTAAAAGATGAAGCGAGCGCTGGGGTGGGTGATGGCGTCGTGGACGAAGTCGCCGTTCTCCCGCAAAAACAGCACCCGGTTGACGACCTCGGTGCCGAAGTACATGTTCAGCTGGAGCTCGAGCACCGTCAGGTGGACAGAGTGGCTCATGGAGAAGCGGCGACACACGAGCGAGCGAAGCATTTCGCCCCCCGCATCGGCGTTCGCCCCCGTCAGCACATGATTGCTAAATTCCCAAATACCGAGGATAAACTGGATGAAAAGAGTATATAAAGTAAATAAGACAGGCTAGATTAGCGAGTAGACTCGATCTAATTGATTATTAAGGCTAAGTCTGGGTGGTTATTGGTAGACTTTGTGGACAAGCTGTCGTGGTGATGGCCTGCACACGGGCTTATCAGTGGCTGCGATAGCGAGCACGTCATTAGCAATCAAGGCCACGAACCAGATAACAGCACTACTCACGGTATAAAAAGATCTAGGTACACCACGGGAAGACAGATGATGTCACAAACGTCGGGCTTTTGTGACACCCCCACCACCTGCCCCCACACAGCCCTTCACATCAACCAAACACGCCCACATCTAAGTGTGGTATATGCTATAGTCGTGGTACACTTGATAAGGGTTGTCGAGGTCTCACACGGTGTAGCTACCACTGGCTACTAATTCGATATAAGCAGTGCGAACGAGGCAGCGAGCGCGGGGGATTGTCTGACACCAAAATAGTGGTGCGATTTTTCACCCCGCGGGCCATCAGTCCCCGAGACACGACACCCACGACAAACTTGTAAAGAAACTCTCTTAAATTGCCTAAGTAAACTTGAATTTATCTCGATGACAATCTAGCGATACATCATAGGCTGACGTCCCTCGGCACAACTGTCAACTCTTCGACAGGCCAAATTAGTCGAGCTATGATAACGTTGGTTCGCAGCCCTGTCCCACGGTCCGGAAACCGCGAAATTTACGCCAGACGTGTCCATATACTGACCCACCCCCTCCCTACCATAGAACCATGGGACGCCTCCATTATCTCGCCGTGCTTGCGGCCACGGTGGCGATTGCTGCCGCCATGGAGATGGGCGAGTCCCACGACCCGATGGAGTACATGAACCCCGACGACCGCCCCGAGTTCAACCCGATAAACGCCGGGCTGAAGACGGCCCACTGGATCTTCGCCGTCGCCTTGCTCGTGCTCTTGCCGCTGGTGCTGGCGGCTTTCGCCTGTGCCGACCGGCTCAAGGTCTCGGTACCGCTCCAGCTCGTGCTGTGTGTGTATCTGGTGGTGGAGCTGTTGTTTCTTCGGTTCCCGGATAACACCGATAACCACGAAAACCGCACCTCCTACGGGACGCTGTGGTTCCTTTCGATATGGCTTGGGGCTGTGGTGTTTATCGGTACGTTTCTTCAAGGGTCCAACGCCGTCATGAACAAGTTCTACCCGCATTTGGCCGACAACTCGGCGCTGGGCCGTTTAACTACCGCCTACAAGTGGCTTCTGAGTCTCGGGGTGCTTCTCGGGTTTATCCGCGTCATGCTTGCCGTCGTCGCCCTCTTTGGCTTCTGCTATGGCGGCCACACCGGCCAGTGTCTTGCTCACGGGATCATGGGTACCGCGTTTATCGCCTACTCGTTCATCCTCGTGCTTGTCCTCCTCATCCCTTGGATCCGCAAGCATCAACTCGCCGATTCCGACTCCTCAAAGTACTTTTCCCAGGAGTTCTGGGACCTGACGGTGATCTGTCTCTGGGGCATTGTTAATACTTTCACCGAACACCGGTGGGGCGACGAGCCCTGGTGGATGGGCGACTACCAGCACACTGCGATGGGGATCATCTGGTGGTGTGGTGGTCTTCTTGGGATGTGGCTTTCTCGCGGTAATCGTCGGTCGTGGGTACCGTCGATTATCTTAGTGTTTACCGGGTGGAGTATGAGTGAACACACCCAGCACACGTTGATCAGTACCAAGGTGCACATGGTGTTTGGCATGGCGCTTATGGCGGCGGGGATCACGAGAGTTATTGAAATTTGCTTCATGTTGAAGGATAGAGCCACCACTCCCGATGGTAAGATCAGAGCATTTCAATACTTCCCCCCGTTCTGCTTGACGTTATCGGGGTTGTCGTTTATGAGTGCCAACGAAGAACAGCTTGAATTGGTCCACAAATTGGGCAGTGACCACAGTGCCTACGTGTTGGTGGTGACGGGGGCGGCGTTTTTGATCTACCTCTGGTTCAACTTGACGATCACGCTCTACTTGTGGCTTGTCGGCTACGACGAAAACGGCGAGATTGTCCCCGACACCTTCACGCGATTAGAACAGCAGACAGATTTCGAATTGGGCGACTTGAGCGACGCCGAAGAGTTTCACGATTGAGGTTATACAGGTAGGGAAATATACAGATAAAGCTTTTTATTGGGACTGGTCGGACAACTCGGAGCATACGCTTGTATAATAGTTTTAGTAGCGTTTGGAAACTACCCCAGCGAGTAAGTAAATTTAAGACAGCATGTAGACTTAGGTCTGCTTGTGGAGGAATTCGTGATCCTGAGTTTTTTTCTCAAGTATTGTTTACTGCCTGAGCTGGTCTTATGCTTCACACCTCATCCAAGTTAGTAGTCCATCAGTGTTTCCAAAATTAAGTGCGACCAATTCTGTGGGGTTTACATCACGTGATCTAGGTGACACCAAACGAAGTTTAAGCTATAATTGGCAGAGTTGCCAACAGAAGAAGCTTCAGCAATATCGTTATTCATGAAGTTGATGATTTCATCCACGTATATCTTTTATTATACTTCAAGGGTCATCATTATTATGATGGATGCGGCTTGGCTTTATGCTTCCAACGTCGCCCAAGTAACCCGAGGAAGACTCGTTCCAATATAAAACTTTCACCACTCCAACTCAACAATGACAAAATATCTCTAATTTTTTAAAAATTATGATTTTCTGATCCACAATTCGTCGTGAACATAAGATACCCTTAATCACGGTTGTGCGCGTGGGAATCCACCAAAGTCCGAGACTCTGCGGTACTCAGCAATGACCGTCTACACCCTATACCATGAAGAAATCCACCAATGTTTCCACTAAATGGCACTAAAACGAAAGCTGCGGACGTCAGGCAAATCGGATAAACCAGCAGTGGTAACGCTTGAGGCTGACGATATCCTTCAAGTGGAGACTCCCCTCTCTGAGTGGTTCAACTGCCTTACCGCCGCCAACGGCAAAGCCAGCGTCTACGACGAACACGTGCTATTGTCATTGGTGGAGACAGCAGTAACGACGTTTGAGGCTCAATACACTGAACTTGAGCAGGAATTGGCCACAATTAACGCCGATATCGATGCTCATATCAAACAGCGCCAACAACAAAACCACACCGATGAGGTCAATCTGCTCCACAAACGGGCCTTGAAAAAGCTTAAAAAGCTTCGACGAGAGTACGGCGACGATACTTATGCCAAGGAAGTGGCCTGGATGGCGAAACGGGTGGGCATCATGCTGGCTCAAGTGGAGCACGATGCTAGTTTACTTCCGCCGCTCCCCTCAGTTGAAAAACCAGAGGAAACTAATGAAGTCCACCATCTCCAGCCGCCACCACCTACTGATACCATCACCGATACCCAATTGGACCACTTTTGCCTGACTCTCCAAGTATTTACTGCCCACGACCCCGAGGTAATTATGTACCGGTTTGCCGTGCTTTACTACGGGTTTATGGCCATCACTGAACAAACATACCTGTGTGTATCGCTGGTGGTGTGTGAAGACCTGGGGGAGGAGTATACCCACTTAGTGCTGTGTCTTGAAGGCCCGCTGTTTATGAGAGAACAAGTGGAGGCAATGGCGGAGTTGATCTGCCGCTGGATCGATGACCTCGGCGAGAATATCGAGCAATTAAGGGCATAGCAAATTGGTTCAATTCCAGCACCGTTTGATAGCTGTGTATATTCTAATGAGATCATGTTAACTTCCTTGACTAAATGAATTCATGACTAAACGATCCGAATTGAGTCTGTATTGAATTGATAGATATCAAGAACATGATGGACAATACTTGATTATGACTATAACAAGTTACTGGCTCGGAGTACCCTGACTTTTGATTTTAATTTCAGTAATTGATTCAAATGTTTAATAAATAATATACAAGTTTATTTAGTTCAACCCTTGCAACACCTTATCGCGTTGGTCTTGGGGCATCTTTTCCAACAATTCACGCACCAAGGCGGCGGCGTCGCCGTCCTCGGCCACCAACTTCTTGATTTGCTTGCGGTGGGCTTCGTGCTTCAACTCGCCGATGCGCTTTTGCAACTTGGCGTGGTTCTGTTCGATCCACGTGCACACTTCCTCGTCGTTGTCGTAGTCGACCAGCGCCATCCACGACTTGAGATAGGCGACCTTTTCCAAGCGGGTGGCGTCGATGACGTCGCCAATCATCTTGAGAACGTACTCTTCGTTCAACCGGCGACGCAAACGCCAGAAGAAGAAGCGCCGGGCGTCTCTCCACTCCAACTCCTTGCGGATGACCCCCTTGGCCAACATTCTCCCCGAGCGGTCGTGCAAGTCGGCGAATTGCACCGAGATCTGGGCGTAGATGGGCAACAACGCCTTTTCTCTAGCGGCCAACTTAGCGGCAATTTCCGCTTGTTGTTCGGCGGGAGCACTAGCAAGCTGTTCCTTCAACGCAATGTAAGTGGGGTCCAAGCGGGCCATCGTCGCCACCAACTTGTCGCGACGGTACTTGATACCCACCATCCCTTCGGGCTCAAGCACACCGGCACGGGCCTCGACGTCAGCGTACATCTCCATCATGTCGGCGTTGATGGTGGGGTCAACCACCACCCACGAACCCCCACGCAACTCACCGGTGGGAGGGATGTAGGTGAAGATCGGCTGCTTAAACTCGACCAAAGCGTCGACAATGTACGACCCATACTTCAACACTTCGTTGTACATGTCACGCTGACCCCCGGAGAAACCTCTCCAGTTGGCCAAGATCATCAACGGCAACTGTTCCCCGTGGTTGAAGTCGTTGATGGCCTGGGCGGTCTTGTAGGCCGAGTTGGGGTACCACACTTGCCCGGCTTCCTGGATCATCATCTCGGTGGAGGCAGGGTTGGCGGGGTCGGCGGGGATCAAGTTTTCCACCATGCGGGTCTCGACGGCAATCAAACCCATGGGGATACCGCCGAGACGAGCACGACCAACGACGACACCCTTAGCCCAGCCAGAAAGGGTTTCCTGGAACGAGTCACGGTCAAACAACCCGTGTTCAAAGCCAGCGTCGGTTTCACGACCAGCAATCATCCACCGCACGTCGTAGGGCTCACCCTTGGGAGGGGTGTAGTCGATGTCACGATCCCAGGGGTCTTGCGACTCCAAGATGGGCACGGGCATCCCGCGGGCAGCAGGCACGTACAGCAACCATTCCATGATCTTTTCCACACCGGCAAGGTCGTCGGGGGCGGTCAAGTGCAGGACCCCGTTACGGTACATGATCTGAGTGCCACCCAACTGGAGGTTCAGCGAGTACACTTCACGACCAAGCAACTTGTTGATGGCGGGGGCCCCGGTCAAGATGATAGGCTGGCCGTCGATCTGGATCAGTCTTTGCCCCAAACGCACCAAGTAAGCACCAATACCCACCGAGCGACAAGTGACCAAAGTGATGGTGAAAATGTCCTTGTAGGCTCTCAGGGTGGCCCCTGCGATGAGACCGGAACCCTTAAGACACTCAACCCCCAACCCGTCGTCGGCACCGATGATGGCAGTGATGACGTGACGTTCCTCGCCGTCCTCAACGACACGCTCAGTGGTGACAGAGTGGGCCTTACCGTCCTTTTGGAGCTGGTCAAGGTCGTCGCTGGTCAAGTACAAGTAGCGGAAACCCTTGTCGGCGTTGCCGGGTTCGTTCCACGCCACCTTGTACATGGGTAAGATTTCTTCGGCAATGCCGATACGGGCACCAGAGTTGGCCGACAAGTAGATTCTGGGGATACCAGCAGCGCGGGCGAGTTCAGTGCACTTGTTGAAGTACTTGTCTTCCTCAGGACCGAAAGAACCGATCTTGTGGGTGATGTCGTTGGCCACCACCACAAACGACCGGCCGCGGGGGTACTCAGGAGTCTTCGCGGTGATCTTGAACCCCACCATCCCGATCTTGTTGGCACCAGGTTCACGTTCCACAGGGGTCAACTCGTCGTTTTCGTCGTAGATCAACTCCAACAGGGTAAACACGTCCTTAGGAGGCTTGCCGCCGTGCTTCTTCCACTGGATAAGCGTGGCCTGGCGGAAAAGCTCGGGGAAGTCGTAGACGTAGGTGGTGCCCATGTTGTGGGCGCGGTACCGCTTAGGCTGCAACAGTTCCTTGGCCGGGTAAGGGGTCAGGATGGGGCGCAAGTGCATGGGCCCAGGTTGGCCGAGCGACTTGAACACCCACTCGCCCTTGGGGTTCTTCACCTCCATGTACATGTCCAGTTTGACGACGTAGCCAGACACGTTGTTGATGATGGCACGGAGAGGGAACAGCTGGCCCAGAGGGTCCTTGCACACAATGCGAATTTCAGCGCCGGTGACTCTCAACCGCCACAAACGACGGCCGAAAGTCTCGAGGAACGACGCGAAGGCGGCTTCAACATCTTGAGGTTGGACGTTGAACGCGTTGGAGAAGTTGATGTAGATGTGGTTCAAGTCCAGGTTCAGGGTGTCGATGAGCTCGAGGGCGTCCAAAATGTCCAGCATCAACCGGTTCAGCTCCAGGATGAGGTACTGGGCAATGTCAACTTCTTGCGAGATGATACCCGTGCGCACAATACCGCGAGTGAAGTAGCGCTTGTCCGAGGGCGAGTTCTTGCCGACAGCTTCGTAGACGTGGATGTTGCGGTTGTCGGTGAACAACGGCTTGATGTGGAAGTTGTCCAAGCGTCCCAACTCGAGCTGGAAGGCGAGCGCCGGTTCGATGTGACGGATAACCTTGTTTTCAGCGTAGTCAGGGGCGGTGAAGGTGTAGTAAGTGGGGTAAGCACCGATCTGGTTAGCGACGACGAAAGTGATTCTCCGCACCAGCGCCGTGTGCATTTCTTCCTTGAATTCCTGGAGGAACTGAGCCAACTTCAGCAACACTTCGTCTTCGCTCAGGTAGCCTTCAATCAGCTCGACGACGATGTTAACCACGTTAAAGAACGACTTACCTGCGGGAGCAGCGCCTTCGCCGGCGTCGATTTCAAGACCATCGTCCTTAATCAACTTTTCAAGGGCCACGGGCAACACGTCGTCGATGTCGTCGATGTGCTTCGAGGGCACAAGCACCCCGAAACGAGGCTTCAGAGCGGCGCGGGAGTCGACAACGTACAGCAAGTCCAGCACCGAGTCGGTGCGGTTCATCAGCTCGGGACCCTTAGCAAGCAGGGTGTACTTGGAGTCGGGCAACTGGAACGCCCACTCGATCACGGGCAACTTCTCGTGGAAGTGGTGGCGGATGGGGCCGAGCTGGTAGGCGCGGTAGGCGCGGCGGACGTACACTTCGGCGGCGGCCATGGCCACCCACTCGTCCGACGACACAAGGAACTGCGGCAATACGTCAAACACGGTGTGCTTCAGGTCGACAACTTCCTGGATGATCTCAAGCTTAGGCTCGCGGTGTTGGGCGTAGACTTCGCCGTACAGCGTCTGCAACACCAGCGTGCGCAAGATGTGTTCCAATTGGTCCGACCGTTCCTTGATCAGGGGCAACGACAGCTGGATCAAGATTTCGCGAGCCTTAAGCGTGACCTTGGCACACAATCTCAGGTCGAGGGTGACGATCTTCTTCAATTCGCGCTTGATGGGAGCACCGATGGTCAGCAGCTGTTGCAAAAGCGGCTGGTATTGGTCCAACATCGCCACCACGAGGTTGTTTTTGGCCAGCACTCTCAGGTGGGAGAGGCACACCTTGGTCACTTTGGCGAGGTCCAGCTTGTTTTCGTCTCTCAACTTGAGCACCACGTCGTCCTCACGGTTGTTTTCCCCCGAAAACAAGTGTTCGACGTCGTAGTACTTGGCCAAGAACAGGGCGATGACCTCAAACTCGTGCTCTTGCAACCCGCCCTTGTAGCGTTCAGCGATGGCGACAAGCGGCGCCACGGTGGCGGCGTAGGCGGTGGCGTCCTCGGCTTCGTCCTGGAACTTAGCAAACAACTTGAGGATCTGGCGCGATGGGAATTCAGCCTTACGCAGCTGGGTGCGCTCAACAAGCAGCACCAACTGCTCGTCGAGCTTAGCCGGCAATCTCAGGTGGAGGGCCAGGATCTGTTGGTTCCATTCCGAGTACGGGAGGATGGGCGACCGCAACAACTCGGTAAGTTCCTTAAGCTTCAGCCCCATGATCATCTGGTTGTCGTAACCCTCGAGGATGTTGGTGAGCACGTGCAGCGCCTCTTGGAAACGGTAGGCGGGCTTAGTGCCCCCGACGATAGGGTCGCCAAGTTCGGGCAAAGTGCCCTCGTAGGGCTTGGCGTGCTTCACCTTCAGCGGGTCGTCCAACGCCAAGATGGCCAAGATGTCGCCGGCATTGACGGTGGACCCGGCTTGCTTCAACAATTGCACCACCCCGTCTTCCTGGGCGATCAACGGCATGCACATCTTCATCACTTCCACTTCGGCGTAGGCCTGGCCGGCGGCGACGTGGTCGCCCAGCTCGACGAGGTACTTCATCAACTTACCGGGAGAAGGGGTACGCAACTGGGTGGGGTCGTTTTCCACTTCCAACAACGCCGTCTTGCCGTCAACCGAGATTCTGGTGGCGGCGGGTTCTTCCTTCCAGTAGACGGCGTGGGACTTACCGCCAATCGCCACCAAGAGACCGCCGTCAGACAACGGGCGAACACCGACAGCAGCCCGCGACCCGTTGAGGAATAACGTGTACAGCAGGTCCAGCAGCTTGGAGCAAGTGAACTTGAACCGCTCGCCCTCGTAGATGAAATCGACGGGGTAGATCGTCTTAAGCAACAGCTTCGCCGGCACCTGACCCTTTTCCAACAGGGCGATGTACTCGGTCTTATCTTCTTCCAGCTGGATGTGGGCCTTAGTGACGGCACCACACAACACGGCGATGGTCTGATCGGGGCGCTCGGCGGTCAACTTCTTCAGGATCAACTCGTCCAACCACCCAGTGGTGATGGTATTGTCTTCAAAGTCCGGGGTCTCCAACAACTTGATCAAGTACTCGACAGTAGTGCGGAAGTCACCCCGGATCAGCAACTCCTTAAGCGCCACCACCATGTGTTTGCGCGACGCCTGGCGGTTTTCACCAAAGGCAAAGATGTGGCCAAATTGCGAGTCGGAGAACGAGTGGATCCCACCTTTGTTGGCCACCGAGAAATAACCCCACACGTTCAGCGACGACCGGAAGTTCAACTCGTGCAAGTCACCGCCGGAAGGCTTAAACCCTTCACCGGGGTCTTCCGAAGTGATACGACAGGCGGTACAGTGACCTTTAGGCTGAGGGCGACGCTGGGTGGTCACCAGCAGTTCCTCCTTAAACTCAAAGTCGATGGGCAGCGCCAGGTGGGGGTCGGCGCCGTAGAGCATACGGATGTCGCGGATACGGTGCAACGGCAACCCCATCGCCACCTGCAACTGCGCCGCCGGCAAGTTGACGCCGGTGACCATTTCCGTAGTGGGATGTTCCACTTGCAACCGCGGGTTCAACTCCAAAAAGTAGAACTTGTCGTCGGCGTGGGAGTACAAGTACTCGACGGTACCGGCAGACACGTAACCGACAAGCTTACCCAAACGGACGGCGGCCTTTTCCATCTCGGTAAAAGTGTCCTTGTTGGCGACGGTGACGGGGGCCTCTTCGATGATCTTCTGGTGGCGGCGCTGGACGGAACAGTCACGGCCAAACAACGAGATGTTGGTGCCGTACTGGTCGGCAAGTAATTGCACTTCCAAGTGGCGCGCCAGCCCCGCGAGCTTCATGACGAAGATGGGCGACCCGGGGATTTCCGCCGCCGCCTGGTGGTAAAGGGCGTGGAAGTCGGCCTCGTTATCGACCTTACGGATCCCCTTACCGCCACCACCTTCCGAGGCCTTAATCATCACGGGGAACCCGATTTTCTTGGCTTTGGCGAGACCGTCGTCGGCATCAGTGCAGCAACCTTGAGCGTAGACTTCGTCCAGCACCGACACCAAGTTGGTAGCGGGGTCGACCACCACCTCGTCGACCCCCGTGCCCGACCAGGGGATACAGGGGACGCGGGCGTGCTGAGCGACGATGGTGGAGGAGATTTTGTCACCCAACGAGTGCATCGCCAGCGCCGGGGGACCGATGAAGATGATCTTGTGCTTGGCCAACAGCTCGGGCAACAACGGGTTTTCCAGGGCGTGGCCCCACCCCGCCCACACGGCGTGGGCGCCGACGCGCTCGGCGATCTCGACGATGAGCTCAACGTTGGCGTAGTTATTGTTATTGGTGCCACCGGGGACTTCGACAAACTGGTCGGCCATGCGGATGTACTCGGCGTTCGCCGCCAAGTCGTCAGGGGTCGCCATCGCCACCAACTCGATGGTGCGGTCGTCGCCAAACATCGCGTACAGCCAGCGGCGGATCGAGCGGATACACTTGATGGCGCCGATGCCGTTGGACAGAATCAACACTTTCTTGACGTAAGAATGGCCGCCGTGGTCGCGGATCCAGTGGGCAAGCTTATCGTCGGGGGCGCTGGCGATGGGGACGCCCCCTTTGAAGTGGGCCGGGAGCTGCTCGTGCATCTCGGCGTAGCTCTGGGTGCTCGTAGACATGCTTCGAGGTAATCTGGGGTTAGTATTGGATCGATTGGGGTCAATTTGGACTGGAATTGAGCGAATGGCATCGCCCTCCTAAACTACCCTTTAGTAGTTCAACGAAGGGCTTTTCCTGGCAATACATACAAATAAAGGGTGCGGGCGCGGGGGGCTCGAGACAACGGGGGGAATAAACGGGGGGTATAGCCGCCGAGGAACCGCAATCGTGTTATATTTAACGGAGCGCTCGTAGGTATGGTTTTTGGGTGTGCCCAACGAATTGTGTTGGGCGCAGCGCCCTGCATGCAAGCTGGTTACGTCAGTGAGCGAACCGTCTCCAGAAAACCACCGGCGCCACTACCGCCAATTACCTCAAGCAAACCACCTAATAAAAGGACCCCCTACAGTAAGGCTACATTCAATTACTGGAGCTGGTTCTAGTTTAATTTCGTCGTCTAATTTTCTCAATAAATTCTCTCTTTCGTGGGTATCTTTGGCTATCTCAGTTTAGGTTAAGTTTCCGTCCCCGTTCGTTAGGGGCCCGTGGAGGACCTCGCACCGGCGATGGGGCGTCCGCCTCGATCTCGGAGCTGATGGCTCTGGCCCCGGGACGGCCGCGATGGGCCTCCTCCCTCACAGTGGGTTGGTTTTGAGCCCGCGCCGGCTCGTCGAGTCGCGAGAGAATTTAAATGCGCCCACGATGATTAGCCGCCTGTAGCTCCGGTGACGACAGCCCCCCAACCGGCATCAACAGTGACACAAGGGGTATGCCCAAAAGTCTAATAAATTTCTTTGATTAGACGAGGAGATTTATCTTGAGATACAATTGGAAAGGATAGGCTTCCATTTAGAGTTAGCTGACAGTGATTCCATTTTTATTCTAGTATCCAGTATCTCCCTCTCAAAGTTTAACTTGTTGTAGGGGTGTCTTATTAGTGTAAGTGTGGCTAATTAAATTTAGTTGGGTGACTCTAATTTTGGCTTTCTATCTTGATTATGGATTCCTATCTAATTTGGCTAAGCGTGGTTTGGTCGAGTTAAGTATTTTGGGTGATTCTAGTTTATCGAAGATTTTGGCTTCCCATCGGAGTTCATTCTACTGTAGGTGGCAAAATTGAGTATATGGGGTCATTTTAATTTATCTAGACAAAGGCTCCCTCTCAGTGTTTACTTATCTGTATCTTATTGGTGCAGTTAGGTCTGTTTGAATTCAATTTGGTGGAATTTGCTTAGTAGTGCAATTACTGTGTCTTATTAGGGTAAGTGGGTCTAATTAATTATATAGAGAGTTGGGTGATATTCAGAGTCTCACCATGCTGGATGCTAGAATATTAAAGTAACGGCTGGAAGTTGTCGACGGGGAGCTTTAGTGGTGGGAGCAAGTAGCGGGGTTGAGTGCCGCCACTGCTATTGCCACCATTACCATTATTATTGCCGCCATCGCCGCCTTGGTGGCCGGTAACCGTCAGCGTAAGCTCATATATAGGGATGGCCTTGGTGCCCATGGTAAACACTTCGATCTCAATCACCTCGTGGTGCAAAAATACGCGTTCCAAGTCGCTATCACTCAGCAAGTGTTGATGGGTTCGCAAATCTCGTAGACCGACAATGGTGTTATTTGCAAGGTGGAACGCCAGCCGGGCATTCTCAATGAGCTCGCCGTGGCGGGGCGGGGCACTGTTTTGGATCGGGTAGGAAAACTCAAGCACTTTATCGCAAAATTGAAGTAGGACCTTTTTGCGGTGTTTGGTGACGGAAGCGGTGACGGGAGCGATCACCGGCAGACGCGCGTGCGGGGTGGCGGCAGGAGTGTGGGAGGTGCTGGATATCGCCAGCGGTATCGGAAGCACTCGCGCCAGCGCTTCGGCGAGCGTCGCGAGCGGGGGTAAAGTAGGGGCGGTGGTGGTGGTGGTGGGGTAGGTCAGGGGTGTTGGTATTGGCGCCGCTACCGGCACCGGCACCAGTGCCGGAACCAGTGTCGGAACCGGTGGCGGAACGGTGGCGGCACCCGCACTAGCGGTGTCTGCCGGCGCTGCTGGCGCCACCGGAGTATTATCCGTATCAACCACGGCCCCTCTCCCTTCATAGTACTCGAAATCAGTGGCCACTTTAGCGAAAAACGGGTAGTCTCGCATGATACAAAAGAAAAACATCTTTGCCAACGGCATCATCGTCAGCGTGAACCCGAAATCCTTCACGCACCCGCCTAACAACATGTATAACGAAATCACCGCCACTTCGTCGGTCACTTGAGGCGCATTAGGGTCGAGCCGCCTAAAGAATTCAGCTAAATGGCGAGGGTTTTCCAATTTACCGCGAAGGTAATCGATCAGTTTGGGGTTCACTTGGTCAAACAGCTTCTCAAACACGTAGGCAATACACGCCGAGATCACCAGTTGTCCCAAAAGCTGGAGATTACCCAGTTTCTTCGTCACCAGCTCCGCACACAGTTTCAGGCGGTCGATCAAGTTGATGAGGATGGTGCGGCACTTGAGGATCCCCTGGTCGAAATCGGGGGTATCTCGGATGTCTAGCTGCTTTAACGGCGGTAGTTTAGGCTGGGCAAGCATGTGGTTGATGGTAGCGCTGGCGTGGTCGACGGTAGACTGAGCTCTCGTCCTTGGGTACAGCAAGTCCACCACGTCATCGTGGACGTCCCGGAGACGAGCAATTTCCGAGATAAACTGTTCTTCCAGTTCCGGCAGCAGCGTCAGGTGCTTTTGGCGTTTAGGATCAGGCTTCTTCAGCTTCAGCAGCCGTTTGCGGTTGCGGCGAACCAGCTGGACGGCCGCCCGGACAAGCTTGTCGAAGTCCTGGGTGTACTCGACCAGGTAGCCAAACTCTTTGCGCAACAGCTCGGCGACGTTCTGGATCTCGGCTTCTTGTTCCAGCGCCTTCTTCAGCGACAAGTCGAGGGTGTCGATGAGCTCGAGCCGGCGGGCGGAGAAGCGTTTCCATAGTCGGTCGTCGGCGAACGCCCCCGCCGACAACCGCAGCCGGATCTGGTGGGTGATGCCTTGTTTGCGGTCCATTGGGGTGGCGGCAAGGGCACGGGGCGGCGGCGGAGAAAGGGTGGAGTATGGGGTCAGTGGCTTACCGCCTACCGATGATTAACGCTCGCACCCTACATACAGGCCAGCTAGTGGCTAGTGGCGAAGGCCGCTAGCCACCAAAAACATTAAGATATTATAGGTATTTACGATTGAAATGAATCGATCACGAGTAGTAGTCGAAATTATTTGTTTGTTTGTTTGTTTGGTTGTTAAGGGAGGTTTGTTTGTTGGTGGTGATTTTATTGAGTCTGGTGTGAGTGCGGATGACTACCAGCGGAAGGGCATGACTCGTAGTCACCCCACTCTTAAGCGGGAGTCCTTCCAGTGAGTCAATTCCTCTACTTGTGGACAAAATCTGAACTCCACTAAACTGATTAATGGCTTTATTGTCCCCTGTCTTGGCGCGTTGTGGTGTATATGTATTGGCTGGGGGTTCGTCGGCGGTATACGTCCGTGGGACCCCCATCCGGCGCCTCGCCCCCAGATAAGCGGGCTATGGCCGCTCACTCCCGTCATTTTCCGCGCTACTTAAAAGGCATAGAAAAACGCCATAGCGCCGCCAATTGGCGCCGCAAAAAGGGCGCCGCAAAAAGGGCGCCGCAAACAGGGTGCCGCAAATTGGCGCCGCAAGCACCCCCGAACGGCGCCCTAACACAATCTCAGCCCCGTTAACGGCCTCCCCCTTTCGCCACCACCACCACGTTCTCTAATTATCCACGCCTTAATTGCTCAATTAATCACGTTGCCCAACTGACTCGGAATAGCCACGAAGCCGATTCGTAGACCTTTCTAATCACTGACGCAGTTCTTCAATAGTTGTATTGGTGTAAGCACTATTGTTAGCTGTGGTGGTGTTGATCTACTGCTGGTCGCGACGCTAGGCGGCGCAGGGGGCGCCGTTAGGCGCCGAGTCAATTTGTGTGAGTCACGAGGTATTGATATATATAGTACATAATTAGTGGGGGCTCTTGTCGTACACATCCATCTGCTGGCGGATAAGCTCCAGCGGCAGCATGTCCAGATGGCCTTTGCCCTGATGAGGCATGTCCCCCATTTGAAACAGAAAAGAATTATCGGTGGCCGCCAGCATCTCCAGGCGGCTGCGGTCGAGCCGGTTGCGCGGCGGCGGCGGCGGCGGCGGCGGCCCCGGTTGCGGCGGCGGTACCGGGTAGTCGTCGTCGCCTAGCCCGGGGATCTGGTTGTACATCAATTTGATCTCGGCAAGCGCCTGGCCCGCCTGATCAAACCCTCGTGAACACACCTTGAGCACGTACCGGTAGTGGTTGGCCTGGCTCCGGTAGAAGTCCCGGTCCTGGGGCAGCGGCGCCAGACAGTACAACAACGCCGCAAACGTCCCGATCAACGTGAAGTTGGCCGCCAGACACAGGTGCCAGTACAGGTGGATGTGCTGCGGCTTGAGCTCCTGGACAAACTTAATCAGCCCCGTCAACCGCGTCTTGGCGGCGTCGTGGCAGGCAGTGACGTATTGCGGGGGTACTTGGTTGCCGCCTTTTTGTTCCTGCCAAAGGATGGTGATGATTTTGCGGTGCAACGTGAGCTCGGTGGCGAAGTACGCGAGCTGGAGGGTGCCGTTGGCGCAGAGCTTTTGCGGGAGCACGGCGCTCATCTGGAGCTCCTGGGGTAGCTCTTGGTACCACTCTTTGAGCCTGATTTGTAACGGTTTGGCCACATTGAGCACTTGTGATAGACCCGTGATCTCTTGCATGGCGCGAAGCAGGTACAACTCGGTTAAGATATCGCCCAATATCCGTGAAAGCAGAGCGAATTGGACAAAGATCTTTTTACCGGCCTCGATATCGGGCGACGGCGACCCTACTGACATTGGCAGCGCTTCCAGATGGGGCGTAGTTGCCAGATTTAGCCGTCCTTGTCGCTCGGGGAAATCACTCTCACTAATTAACGGAACCGCCCAATTATATCCAGGAATATGTGACGGTCGCCCGTTCTTCAACGCGAGCCATTTATCTTCCACAAATACCCCCCAGGCAAGCCGTTTACGGAGCGACCGCTCCCATTTGGGGAGCTGCCAGCCACTGCAATCGAGCCCGAGCCCCATCTCCTCGCTGAGGGCCACCACTTGAGAACAAAGCACCCAGTCGCTATAATCCGCGTTGCGCGCCTCAACATTAGTCAGTTTGCGGTGGTCAACAATGTGTTTACACTGAAGCAATAATAGCCCCGCTTGTACGGCTGAGAGCTTTGGTCGCTTTAACACTTCCAAAAAGAAGTTAGTCAGCCCCACTTTTAGTAACTTTTCCACATCGGGTCGCGGGAACTGGTTTAATTGAGGATCATGGTCCCACCACTGAATCGCCAACGCGTATACTGCTGCCAATAACGGCGCCGAAAACTCGCGATGGCTGCGTTGATATTTCTCCAAAAACACCTGTTTGTGCAATATTGGGTAGGTCGGGTGCACCACTCTGAAATATAAGTTGACCAAATTGGGTCCGTGCGGCGTCACCAATTTCTCCACGGTATCGACATCCTGAGTCAGCTGGGCAAACAGTTGCGGTGTCTGGTCATCTTTGAGGATGAAGTGGACCAGCGGCGCCACTTTCCGGAGCAGAGCGTCGCTGCGAGGACCGCGACCATCCGCAGGGTTATTATCCACTAAGTCGATGCGCTGGATGCGCTCACGGGTATGGCTCAGCTCTTTAGCTCGAAACACTGCTCCTACCACCAGCGGGTCGTAGGCGCTCAGCGTCGCGCCGATATAGAACGACAGTTTCGGGAAACTCGTCTGCGACTGTGGGTTGGGCGACGGACTGGCGTGTCGCGGTAGCGCCTGCTGTTGCAGTTGCAGTTGTTGTTGTTGTTGTTGTTGCTGATGCTGCTGTTGCATGGGGTGGGTGGTATGGCTGTAGCCTCGTTTGCGGGTATTCAGAAGCATGGGCGGCGGCGCCGGTTGCGCCGATTGCGACGACGGCTGGCTTGTCGGCGGCGGCGGCGCCGTCATCGATAGCGGCGTCGTCTCGGCGCTACCTAGCGGCGACGGATGGTCGATCTTTTGTCGTTTCTGCCGCGGGTGAGGGGTAGTCGTATTGGGGTTGGCGTGGATAAACGAACACTGGCGGTGGTTACGCTCACACTCGACACACTGGCTCGGGTTGAGCGGAATGCACTTGACGTCCAAGTGGTGGCACTGGGAACACGGTACCACGGCGGCGTCGACGTCGAGCTTGGCCACCGCCAACAAGTCGTGAGCGGCTGGATCATCGTAGCCGAGGTTGGAGAAAATGTCGCCCGCTTGCTCCCAATAGGATTTCTCGTCATACATCTGGCGGGGTCAGGCACGCCCACAATTTAC